CCGAGGTCGCTTGCGGCCGAGNTGTCAAAATGACATTGACATTTCAAACCGGAAGTTGACCATAACTTCATTAATATTGAAGATAAATATGTCGTGTTTGTACTCATTTTAAAGGATTTTTAATGAAGATTACAAATATGTCAAAATTGAGGTTGACATTTTACACTTGAAGTTAATTATCTTAAATGTTTTTACTTCTAAGTCTAGTATTAGTTCTAGTTTTGCACTAGCATTGTCACTAAAATTAACATAAGTCTTAGAACTAGAATCATTGCTATTTTGATAGTATTTGTGCCCTTGGTCTATTGTTGCATGTTTATCCCGGAACTCAAATTGATGTGTTGGTATTAGGGCTTTTTCTTCTATGATAGCTTTAAGTCGTTTTAATAATCATTTTTCAAATACTTTTGATAGTAAAGGTAATAATGAGATTGCAACATCTTTACCAGCTTTGGTATCATTATTATTGCAGCAACTTTCTATATACTTGGGAAGTATTTCTGTTTAAAAGTAGCATTGATTATGTGTAATAGCTTTGTAATTGCCCGTTTTGGTAGATGTTTCAATGTTTCTCCATTAATTAGGTCATAGCCTACTGATTTCTTTATATTTAGTTTTTGTATTTCATAATACAGTTCTTTTCACTCTTACACATGGTATATTACTCTGCTCACCACTTTGAATTATGCTAGGAGTACTATTTAACATAGTTGTTGGACTGTCTGATTTAAAAGTTTCTTTCCGATGTTTAGCAAAAAATTAACTTTTTCTTGATTGCTCTTAGGCCAATTTCAGTTACTATTTCGAATTGTAGGTATATAATAATAATAATAATAATAAACTGCCTTTATTTCCAGAGTAAAGAGAACAAACAATAATAATAGTAACTATAGTTACTATAATGCAAATAAAGATANTTTCCACACGATATGGTATTATATAACATATTGCCTCGGCCGCAAGCGACCTCGGCTCAATTACTTTTGATATCATTAAAATGTAGTCAATTTTTGTAAACGATTATATGGTATGAATATATTGCCTCGGCCGCAAGCGACCTCGGCACGATTACTCTTATATCGTTAAAATCTGATCAATTTTTCCACACGATATGGTATTATATAACATATTGCCTCGGCCGCAAGCGACCTCGGCTCAATTACTTTTGATATCGTTAAAATGTAGTCAATTTTTGTAAACGATTATATTATGGTATGAATATATTGCCTCAGCCGCAAGCGACCTCGGCTCGATTACTCTTATATCGTTAAAATCTGGTCAATTTTTCCACACAATATAGTATTATCAACATATTGCCTCGGCAGCAAGCGACCTCGGCTCAATTACTCTTATATCGTATGGAAAAATTGACCAATTGCTTTCTAAATTGACTTTAGAAAGCAAAAATCCCCAAAATATCAAAAATTATGATTTTTATTACTAAATTTGATGATAACTCAAAAATTAAAGGTGGTGGAGAAAAATGTTTTGGATATAAATTGTTCCTAATGGGGCTAAATGGCATAATTCATAACCAGATTTAGTTTAGTTGTAACTATTTTTTAGTTAGAAAGTGATAATCCCCGAAATGTCAAAATTGACGATTTTTGTTATTAATTAAAGTTCATCATAACTCAAAAACTAAAAGCGATACAGGAAAATATTTTTGATAAAAATTGTTGGTAATGGATCAAAAATGTATAATCCATAATCAGATTTAATCTAGATGTAGTTGTGTTCTAGGGAGAAAGTGAAAATCCCCAAAATGTTAAAATTCTTAACTTTCATTGTTAATGTCCATCATAACTTATAAATTAATAAGGAAGGAGAAAAATATTTTATACATAATTTGGTTATAATGAACCAATGAGGCATAATCCATAACCAAAGCTAACTTAATTATAACCGTTTGTTAGTTAGAAAACGAAAATCTCCAAAATGTCAAAAATTATGATTTTTATTATTAAAGTCGATGATAATTCAAAAATGAACGGTGACGGAGGAAAATGTTTTGGATATAAATTGTTCCTAATGGGGCTAAATGGCATAATCCATAACCGGAATTAGTTTAGTTATAACCATTTTTTAGTTAGAAAGTGAAAATCCCCAAAATGTCAAAATTGACGATTTTTGTTATTAATTAAAGTTCATCATAACTCAAAAACTAAAAGCGATAGAGGAAAATATTTTTGATAAAAATTGTTGGTAATGGATCAAAAATGTATAATCCATAATCAGGTTTAGTCTAAATTTAGTTGTGTTCTAGGGAGAAAATGAAAATCCCCAAAATGTTAAAATTTTTAACTTTCATTGTTAATGTTCATCATAACTTATAAATTACTAAGGAGGGAGAAAAATATTTTATACATTATTTGGTTATAATGAACCAATGAGGTATAATGCATAACCAGAGCTAACTTAATTATAACCATTTGTTAGTTAGAAAACGAAAATCCCTAAAATGTCAAAAATTATGATTTTTATTACTAAATTTGATGATAACTCAAAAATTAAAGGTGGTGGATGAAAATGTTTTGGACATAAATTGTTCCTAATGGGGCTAAATCGTATAATCCATAACCAGATTTAGTTTAGTTGTAACTATTTTTTAGTTAGAAAGTGAAAATCCCCAAAATGTCAAAATTGACGATTTTTGTTATTAATTAAAGTTCATCATAACTCAAAAACTAAACGCGATAGAGGAAAATATTTTTGATAAAAATTGTTGGTAATGGATCAAAAATGTATAATCCATAATCAGGTTTAGTCTAAATTTAGTTGTGTACTAGGGAGACAATGAAAACCCCTAAAATGTCAAAATTTTTAACTTTCATTGCTAATGTCCATCATAACTTATAAATTAATAACGAGGGAGAAAAATATTTTATACATAATTTGGTTATAATGAACCAATAAGGCATAATCCATAACCAGAGCTAGCTTAATTATAACCATTTGTTAGTTAGAAAGCGAAAATCCCTAAAATGTCAAAAATTATGATTTTTATTACTAAATTTGATGATAACTCAAAAATTAAAGGTGGTGGAGGAAAATGTTTTGGACATAAATTGTTCCTAATGGGGCTAAATGGCATAATTCATAACCGGATTTAGTTTAGTTATAACCACATTTTAGTTAGAAAATGAAAATCCCCAAAGTTTCAAAATTGACGATTTTTGTTATTAATTAAAGTTCATCATAACTCAAAAACTAAAAGCGATAGAGGAAAATATTTTTAATAAAAATTGTTGGTAATGGATCAAAAATGTATAATCCATAATCAGATTTAGTTGTGTTCTAGGGAGAAAATGAAAATCCCCAAAATGTTAAAATTTTTAACTTTCATTGTTAATGTCCATCATAACTTATAAATTAATAAGGAGGGAGAAAAATATTTTATACATAATTTGGTTATAATGAACCAATGAGGCATAATCCATAACCAGAGCTAGNTTATTGAGCCGAGGTCGCTTGCGGCCGAGGCAATATATTCATACCATATAATCGTTTTGCAAAAATTGACCAGATTTTAACGATATCAAAAATAATTGAGCCGAGGTCGCTTGCGGCTGAGATGATATTATCAACATATTGCCTCGGCCGCAAGCGACCTCGGCTCAATTACTTTTGATATCGTTAAAATGTAGTCAATTTTTGTAAACGATTATATGGTATGAATATATTGCCTCAGCCGCAAGCGACCTCGGCTCGATTACTCTTATATCGTTAAAATCTGGTCAATTTTTCCACACGATATGGTATTATCAACATATTGCCTCGGCCGCAAGCGACCTCGGCTCAATTACTTTTGATATCGTTAAAATGTAATCAATTTTCGTAAACGATTATATGGTATGAATATATTGCCTCGGCCGCAAGCGACCTCGGCTCGATTACTTTTATATCGTTAAAATCTGGTCAATTTTTCCACACGATATGGTATTATCAATATATTGCCTCGGCCGCAAGCGACCTCGGCTCAATTACTTTTGATGTCGTTAAAATGTGATCAATTTTCTGCAAACGATAATATGGTATGAATATATTGCCTCGGCCGCAAGCGACCTCGGCTCAATTACTTTTGATATCGTTAAAATCTGGTCAATTTTTGCAAAACGATTATATGGTATGAATATATTGCCTCGGCCGCAAGCGACCTCGGCTCGATTACTTTTATATCGTCAAAATCTGGTCAATTTTTCCACACGATATGGTATTATCAATATATTGCCTCGGCCGCAAGCGACCTCGGCTGAATTACTCTTGATAATGTTAAAATCTGATTATTTATTACAAGTAATATTACATTCTTTGAATCAAATTAGAAATAATAAAACCACGCAGAGTTTTTTTCATTTGAGAGTCGCATTCAGTCTAAAAATAAATCGAGTACCGCGTCTTATTGACGTTCATAAACCGTATATCGGCATCGAATTACGGTCATCATTTGACTGTTAATGATTAATTTAAAAAAAAAGATTGTTTATGATTTATAATTGCGTTTTTTTATTTAACGAAAACGAAATTGTTAACCTTGAAGTCATAAAAAAAATTGTTTAAAGTACTCCTTACATAAATAGTGTTTTCTCAGGTGATTTCCTCTTGAATCTCGTTTCGAAGTTTACGCTTGACAAAGCGTGTAACAATAAATTATCGATGGATAAAAAAAACGATTTTTTAATTCTATTTTTTTTGCTTACGTGAACTTGGTCTAGATAAGAAATAAAAAGTAAAGTGTAAGGCAGAGTTAATAAGGTTAAGTAGTAATGAAAGTGGAATAAGTGAGGATGACCTTCGATAGGAATTAAAAATAAATAAAATAATAAATGGTTTTTAGATAAAAAGTGAACTGCTTTTAGATAAAAAATAAGAAAATAATATTTTATTTAAAAAACATCATAAATATATCAATAAAATCGACTTTCGACCACCCTGTATATATTATATTTGTATTATTATTAAATATTTTAAATATTTATTATTATTTATTCCTTTTACAGAATCCAATTACACTCGAAGACTTCAAGTATGGGTTAACTTCAACATTTGATTCAAAAAATGGATAAATACCTCCACTTTTGTGAATATGGCAGAAAATAACAAGGTAAGTGAAAGCTTACTCATTTTTGCCACCTTATCAATAGTGAGTATTCCCAGCTGATTTATTTGCTGACTCACATAGTTATGACGCTTAAAACTAGCGAAATAACAAAAAAAAATAATTCAATGGAAAGATTGAAGAATGTAAAGACCAGGATAACACTTAGGTTTTTTTTGTAATAAAAAGAGATGATTCATAATATTTTATTGTTTATTCTCAAACAAATAAGGTATAACGTAATAATCTTTAAAATTTTTATTACACTAAATTTGAAAACATCGTCTTGGTCTTCCTCAATATTTTCCTTATCATTTTCATTTGCTTTGTTTCTTATATTTCTCAACGTCGTCTTGCTACCAAATAACATCTAATCTGGTGAAATCTTGAACCATCTCGTGTCTGTCATTTCAATTTCAATTTAGCATCTCCTAAGAAGCTACTCATTTGAAGGGGTTACAAAAATAAGACGGCACCAGTACAAGTATAGATCCAAATTTTAGTCTTTTAAGGTTTGGCACAAAAAAAATCGTCTGGAATGATATTCAACTAGTTTTTCAAAATTCTCATGTCCAAAGTCTTCCTTTGGAATAGAATAGGTTTATGTGTTAAGTTGTTTTGGCGTTGGATTTGCTTGCTTCAGGGTTAGGATACTTTATGATTCAGTTGCTATGAGGTTGGCTTGTTCTGCGTTGAGTTACTTTGTGATGGGTTGCTTTGTGGTTGGATTAATTTATATTGAAGTTGGTTTATTTATTAGTTGAGTTACTTTGAATTTAGATTACGTGTAGTTAACTTGCTTTGTGAGTCAATTGGTTTGTTTTGGAGTTGGTCACTATGATATATGATGGACGTTAACAATGAAAGTTAAAAATTTTGACATTTTGGGAATTTTCATTTTTTCCCTAGAATATAACTATATCTAGACTAAATCTGGTTATGAATTATGCATTTTTAATCCATTACCAACAATTTTTGTCAAAAATGTTTTTCTCTATCGCTTTTAATTTTTGACTTATGATGAACTTTAATTAATAACAAAAATCGTCAATTTTGACATTTTGGGGATTTTCACTTTCTAACTAAAAAATGGTCACAACTAAACTAAATCTGGTTATGGATTATGAGATGTAGCCCCATTAGGAACAATTTATACCCAAAACATTTTCCTCCATCACCTTTAATTTTTGAATTATCATCGACTTTAATAAATAATAAAAATTACAATTTTTGACATTTTGGGGATTTTCGATTTCTAACTAACAAATGGTTATAATTAAGCTAGTTCTAATTATGGATTATGTATTTATGCTTCATTTGAAACAATTGTTGTGAAAAACATTTTCCTCCATCACCTTTAATTTTTGAATTATCATCGACTTTAATAAATAATAAGAATTACAATTTTTGACATTTTGGGGATTTTCGCTTTCTAACTAACAAATGGTTATAATTAAGCTAGTTCTAATTACGGATTATGTATTTATGCTTCATTTGAAACAATTTTTGTGAAAAACATTTTCCGCCATCAGCTTTAATTTTTGAATTATCATCAACTTTAATAAATAATAAAAATTACAATTTTTCACATTTTGGGGATTTTCTCTTTCCAACCAACAAATGGTTATAATTAAGTTGGCTCTGGTTATGGATTATGCCTTATTAGTTCATTATAACCAAATTATGTATAAAAGATTTTTCTCCCTCGTTGTTAATTTATGATTTATTATGGAGATTAACAAAGAAAGTTAAAAATTTTGACAGTTTAGTAATTTTCATTTTCTCCCTAGTACACAACTAAATCTAGACTAAATCTGATTATGGATTATGCATTTCTGATCCATTAGCAACAATTTTTGTTAAAAATATTTTTCTCTATCGCTTTTAGTTTTTAAGTTATGATGAACTTTAATTAATAACAAAAATCGTCAATTTTGACATTTTGGGGATTTTCACTTTCTAACTAAAAAATGGTTATAACTAAACTAATTCCGGTTATGGATTATGCCATTTAGCCCCATTAGGAACAATTTATGTCCAAAACATTTTCCTTTATCACCTTTAATTTTTGAGTTATCATCAAATTTAGTAATAAAAATCACAATTTTTGACATTTTAGGGATTTTCGCTTTCTAACTAACAAATGGTTATAATTAAGCTAGCTCTGGTTATGGATTATGTCTTATTGGTTCATTATAACCAAATTATGTATAAAATATTTTTCTCCCTCATTGTTAATTTATTATGGAGATTAAGAAAGAAAGTTAAAAATTTCGATATTTTAGTAATTTTCATTTTCTCCCTAGTACACAACTAAATTTAGACTAAATCTGATTATGGATTATACATTTTTGATCCATTACCAACAATTTTTGTTAAAAATATTTTTCTCTATCGCTTTTAGTTTTTGAGTTATGATGAACTTTAATTAATAACAAAAATCGTCAATTTTGAATTTTGGGGATTTTCACTTTCTAACTAAAAAATGGTTACAACTAAACTAAATCGGTTATGGATTATGAGATTTAACCCCATTAGAAACAATTTATGTCCAAAACATTTTCCTTCACCACCTTTAATTTTTGAGTTATCATCAAATTTAGTAATAAAAATCATAATTTTTGACATTTTAGGGATTTTCGCTTTCTAACTAACAAATGGTTCTAATTAAGCTAACTCTGGTTATGGATTATGCCTCATTGGTTCATTATAACCAAATTATGTATAAAATATTTTACTCCCTCGTTATTAATTTATAAGTTATGATGGACATTAGCAATGAAAGTTAAAAATTTTGACATTTTAGGGATTTTTATTTTCTCCCTAGTACACAACTAAATTTAGACTAAATCTGATTATGGATTATACATTTTTGATCCATTACCAACAATTTTTATCAAAAATATTTTCCTCTATCGCTTTTAGTTTTTGAGTTATGATGAACTTTAATTAATAACAAAAATCGTCAATTTTGATATTTTGGGGATTTTCACTTTTTAACTAAAAAATGGTTACAACTAAACTAAATACGGTTATGGATTATGAGATTTAACCCCATTAGAAACAATTTATGTCCAAAACATTTTCCTTCACCACCTTTAATTTTTGAGTTATCATCAAATTTAGTAATAAAAATCATAATTTTTGACATTTTAGGGATTTTCGCTTTCTAACTAACAAATGGTTCTAATTAAGCTAACTCTGGTTATGGATTATGCCTCATTGGTTCATTATAACCAAATTATGTATAAAATATTTTACTCCCTCGTTATTAATTTATAAGTTATGATGGACATTAGCAATGAAAGTTAAAAATTTTGACATTTTAGGGATTTTTATTTTCTCCCTAGTACACAACTAAATTTAGACTAAATCTGATTATGGATTATACATTTTTGATCCATTACCAACAATTTTTATCAAAAATATTTTCCTCTATCGCTTTTAGTTTTTGAGTTATGATGAACTTTAATTAATAACAAAAATCGTCTTTTTTGATTTTTTGGGGATTTTCACTTTTTAACTAAAAAATGGTTATAACTAAACTAATTCCGGTTATGGATTATGCCATTTAGCTCCATTAGGAACAATTTATGTCCAAAACATTTTCCTCCACCACCTTTAATTTTTGAGTTATCATCAAATTTAGTAATAAAAATCATAATTTTTGACATTTTGGGGATTTTCGTTTTCTAACTAACAAATGGTTATAATTAAGCTAACTCTGGTTATGGATTATGCCTCATTGGTTCATTATAACCAAATTATGTATAAAATATTTTTCTCCCTCGTTATTAATTTATAACTTATGATGGACATTAGCAATGAAAGTTAAAAATTTTTACATTTTAGGGGTTTTCATTTTCTCCCTAGTACACAACTAAATTTAGACTAAACCTGATTATGGATTATACATTTTTGATCCATTACCAACAATTTTTATTAAAAATATGTTCCTCTACCGCTTTTCGTTTTTGAGTTATGATGAACTTTAATTAATAACAAAAATCGTCAATTTTGACATTTTGGGGATTTTCACTTTCTAACTAAAAAATAGTTACAACTAAACTAAATCCGGTTATGGATTATGTCATTTAGCCCCATTAGGAACAATTTATGTCCAAAACATTTTCCTCCACCACCTTTAATTTTTGAGTTATCAAATTTAGTAATAAAAATCATAATTTTTGACATTTTGGGGATTTTCGTTTTCTAACTAACAAATGGTTACAATTAAGCTAGCTCTGGTTATGGATTATGCCTTATTGATTCATTATAACCAAATTATGTATAAAATATTTTTCTCCCTCGTTATTAATTTATAAGTTATGATAGAGATTAACAATAAAAGTTAAAAATGTTGACATTTTAGGGATTTTCATTTTCTCCCTAGAACACAACTAAATTTAGACTAAATCTGATTATGGATTATGTATTTTTGATCCATTAGCAACAATTTTTATCAAAAATATTTTCCTCTATCGCTTTTAATTTTTGAGTTATGATGAACTTTAATTAATAACAAAAATCGTCAATTTTGACATTTTGGGGATTTTTACTTTCTAACTAAAAAATAGTTACAACTAAACTAAATCCGGTTATGGATTATGCCATTTAGCCCCATTAGGAACAATTTATGTCCAAAACATTTTCCTCCACCACCTTTAATTTTTGAGTTATCATCAAATTTAGTAATAAAAATCATAATTTTTGACATTTTGGGGATTTTCGTTTTCTAACTAACAAATGCTTATAATTAAATTAACTCTGGTTATGGATTATGCCTTATTGGTTCATTATAACCAAATTATGTATAAAATATTTTTCTCCCTCATTGTTAATTTATTATTTATTATGGAGATTAACAAAGAATGTTAAAAATTTTGACATTTTAGTGATTTTCATTTTCTCCCTAGTACACAACTAAATTTAGACTAAATCTGATTATGGATTACACATTTTTGATCCATTACCAACAATTTTTATCAAAAATATTTTCCTCTATCGCTTTTAGTTTTTGAGTTATGATGAACTTTAATTAATAACAAAAATCGTCAATTTTGAAACTTTGGGGATTTTCACTTTCTAACTAAAAAATGGTAACAACTAAACTAAATCTGATTATGAATTATGCCATTTAGCCCCATTAGGAACAATTTATGTCCAAAACATTTTCCTCCATCACCTTTAATTTTTAAGTTATCGGCTTTAATAATAAATATCATAATTTTTGACATTTTGGGGATTTTTGCTTTCTAACTAACAAATGGTTATAATTAAGCTAAATCTGATTATGGATCATGCATTTCTGATCCATTAGCAACAATTTTTATCAAAAATATTTTCCTCTATCGCTTTTAGTTTTTGAGTTATGATGAACTTTAATTAATAACAAAAATCGTCAATTTTGACATTTTGGGGATTTTCACTTTCTAACTAAAAAATGGTTACAACTAAACTAAATCTGGTTATGAATTATGCCATTTAGCTAGCCCCATTAAGAACAATTTATGTCCAAAACATTTTCCTCCATCACTTAAAATTTTTGAATTATCGTCGATTTTAATTATAACAATCATCAATTTTGATATTTTGGCGATTTTCGCTTTCCAACTAACAAATGGTTATAATTAAGCTAGTTCTAATTATGGATTATGTATTTATGCTTCATTAGAAACAATTTTTGTGAAAAACACTTTCCTCCATCAACTTTAATTTTTGAATTATCATCGACTTTAATAAATAATAAAAATTACAATTTTTCACATTTTAGGGATTTTCGCTTTCTAACTAACAAATGGTTATAATTAAGTTAGCTCTGGTTATGGATTATGTCTTATTGGTTCATTATAACCAAATTATGTATAAAATATTTTTCTCCCTCGTTATTAATTTATAAGTTATGATGGACATTAGCAATGAAAGTTAAAAATTTTGACATTTTAGGGGTTTTCAATTTCTCCCTAGTACACAACTAAATCTAGACTAAATCTGATTATGGATTACACATTTTTGATCCATTAGCAACAATTTTTATCAAAAATATTTTCCTCTATCGCTTTTAGTTTTTGAGTTATGATCAACTTTAATTAATAACAAAAATCGTCAATTTTGACATTTTGGGGATATTCATTTTCTCCCTAGTACACAACTAAATTTAGACTAAATCTGATTATGGATTATGCATTTTTGATCCATTACGAACAATTTTTATCAAAAATATTTTCCTCTATTGCTTTTAATTTTTGAGTTATGATGAACTTTAATTAATAACAAAAATCGTCAATTTTAATATTTTGGAGATTTTCACTTTTTAACTAAAAAATGATTACAAGTAAACTAAATCTGGTTATGGATTATGACATTTAACCCCATTAGGAACAATTTATGTCCAAAACATTTTCCTCCATCACTTTAAATTTTTGAATTATCGTCGATTTTAATTATAACAATCATCTATTTTGACATTTTGGGGATTTTCACTTTCTAACTAAAAAATAGTTACAACTAAACTAAATCTGGTTATGGATTATGAGATTTAACCCCATTAGGAACAATTTATGTCCAAAACATTTTCCTCCACCACCTTTAATTTTTGAGTTATCATCGAATTTAGTAATAAAAATCATAATTTTTGACATTTTAGGGATTTTCGCTTTCTAACTAACAAATGGTTATAATTAAGCTAGCTCTGGTTATGGATTATGCCTTATTGGTTCATTATAACCAAATTATGTATAAAATATTTTTCTCCCTCCTTATTAATTTATAAGTTATGATGGACATTAGCAATGAAAGTTAAAAATTTTGACATTTTGGGGATTTTCATTTTCTCCCTAGAACACAACTAAATCTAGATTAAATTTGATTATGGATTATACATTCTTGATCCATTACCAACAATTTTTATCAAAAATATTTTCCTCTATCGCTTTTAGTTTTTGAGTTATGACGAATTATAATTAATAACAAAAATCGTCAATTTTGACATTTTGGGGATTTTCACTTTCTAACTAAAAAATAGTTACAACTAAACTAAATCCGGTTATGGATTATGAGATTTAGCCCCATTAGGAACAATTTATGTCCAAAACATTTTCCTCCATCACCTTTAATTTTTAAGTTATCGACTTTATTAATAAAAATCATAATTTTTGACATTTTGGGAATTTTCATTTTTTCCCTAAAACACAACCAAATCTGATTATAAATTATGCATTTTTGATACATTAGCAACAATTTTTCACGAATTATCCATAATTAACCACATATTTCATTTTAAAGTCTATTATTTGGAGATATGAAAGAAGCGCCATCTCTTGTTGACAAATGACATTATAGATGTGTCAAATTTTGAAGTTGTCAAATAATTTATTATTCTTTAAAAAGTTATCATATCTCGTTTTAAATGAACTCTGTGTGTATAAAGAAAGAAGATTATTAAAACTTTTGTTGGAAAAATTCCAAAAACCACTCTCAACAGGTAGTAAGATGACTCAACAACCTTTTTTTTATCTCCTTTCATTTTTCTTGGAGCAGGTTAAAGACCTTTTTGTATCTCCACAAACTTAAGAAACTCTTTTCACAAAAATGTTTAACCGTTTCAAAACACCACATTATTTTTCAAACATCGAACACGCGCGAATTTGCGTAAAAATACCGAAATGAACGTTGCACTCGCTTTGCTAACCGTCCAAGAAAAAAGGGGAACTATTTCCAACCAACTTTGACCTATTTTTAGTATCAAGTTTAAGTTTCAATTTCATTAAGCGTCACACTTTCTTTACAAAACGATGTACATTTCGTCAAAGTTGATGCAATTAAAAGAAATTTTACAAAAACATTGACTAATCATTCGAGATTAACCGGAAATGGAAACCGACGAGTCATTTTGTTTATAAAACATCAAAAACGATTAGTTCTAGTTAAAAGATAAAAGTAGTGCGAACTTTAAATTCGTTTTTAACGAGGAATTTTGAATGAAATTCAAGATAACCTTCACTTTACGGTTTAAATCTTTCAAATAATTCAGATAAAATCTCTTTTTGACCCAACCCACTCTTATCGTTAAAAAAAATGATAAAAAAAATATGGACTATTAAAAATCTTTCGATTTAAAGGTTAAATCAGCTTTAATTTCGTTCTCTTTCAATTTTTATCTGGGTTTTAATATAAACTTTTCATAAATCATAAATTAAAGGCGATTAATTTTTTTATACATCATCACGCCATGAAAATGATCCCCATTATGCAATAACTTGATTTAAATAAATAAATTCTTGCTCAACCAGTTTTAATTTACCTTTTTCCTTGAAGAGGTTAAAAGATAATTAATTCGAAAACACCATGGTGGTGGTTTATGCGGGTTTTTAACTAAATATTAGCACTTCAAACAGGTTCTACAATAATAATTACTTTATTTTTTTACTCAATAATAATGAAATAACTTGTTGCTTTTATAAATGGAAGAGTTAAACTTAGAACTAACTCTAAAAATAACATAAGTACTACTTTGTAAAAGTAAACTTATGGTAAGACTACTTACCTCAAGTCGAAAAACGGGAAATCACTCGGTGCAAAACGCTTTACGTGACGAGAAAATTGAAATTAATGATTAAAAAATTAAGTCAAAGGGTTTATGTCACGTAAAACTGGTTAAAGTAGTCATTTAATCTTAAAAAGGAATTAGTGACGATGCGATTTTCTAATCGGAAACTTCTCTTTTAACTAAACCGATGCGAATAAGTTCTCATTTCGCACGTGTTCACTTCAAAACGTCTCCAAACCGACTACACGAACTAAAAAACACATTTAATTTGACATGAAAAAGTGGGGTTAAGTGCGTTAATGTCAGTGACATCGTTACTGGCGACATCTATCGGCGAAAAAATAAATTATCATTTTACGAAAATTAGGTACCTTTTTACCAATAATAATAAAATCACTAGATTTGGTGAATATTATTGTTAACAACAAATTTAATTTGATTTTTTCGATGTAATAATTAATTTAATATTATCTTTTAAGGGAATCTCAACTTAAAGAGGAATTCGGAACAATTATGGTAAAAAAGGTGAGTTGTTTTGATAGAAATTATTATTTGTGATTTTTTTAGGTTACTTTTCTATAATTATTAAAATAAATAAATAAATAATCGTGAAGGAAGATTATGTTAAGTGTTAATAACTGATTTTGGAAGAAATGCATAAAGATTTAAATGATGTAGGAATAAGGAAGACGTTCTTCGATTTAAAGTCCAACATTGAGGAATGGGAATGCGTAGAATGTTGAGGAGGCCAAAACCCACCAAGGATTATAGAGCCAAAAGAAAACGAAGAACATCCAAGTGGATTTTAATTCATAATAACAGTAAGTAGATTATTGAGGCTCTAATTTAAGATATAAATCATTTTTTAACCTCACAAAATAAGATCTAAAGAAGCGTTTTTAAATTTTGACGGTTTCTGACATAACCTAAATTAACAAGAATTCAAATAATATTATTTTTACATCTAAAATAAAATGTTTTTCTTTTTAAATTTTTAAACAGTATTTGTATAAAAATAAAGTGAAATCTAATATTTATTAATTTTAAATTATAAACTTTTTAATTGTTAGCGCCATCTATGAAGGAATTTTCAAAGTTATTTGTTTTAGGCAACCCAAATTACATCTTTTATTTGAAATCTATTACACCTTTACAACCAAATGCAGACAAATTGTTGCATAAAGAATTACATGGTCATAATTGTACGAATTGATGTAGCAATAAGGGAGACGTTCTTTGATTTAGTCCAACGTTGAGGAATGGGAATGGTGGAGAATTGTTGAGGAGGCCAAAACCCACCAAAGATTGTAGAGTCATAAAATCCAAGAGGATTTTAATTCACAATAAAAGTAAGTAAACGAAATTAGATTTTCTTGGCTCTAATTTAAGATATGAATCATTTTTTAACCTCTCAAAATAAAATCTAGAGAAGCGTTTTAAATTTTGACAGTTTCTGACATAACCTCAATTAACAAGAATTCAAATAATGTTACTTTTACATCTAAAATAAAACGTTTTTCTTTTAATCTAAGGTATAAATAATGTACAGAAGGAAAAATATCTCCAAGATTAAGATTATACTGCGTATATTGGAACTCGGGGCTTTAATAACAATTATTTGGACCACTTCTTATCACAGGTAAATTTTTAAACATTATTTATATAAAAATAAAGTGAAATCTAATATTTATTAATTTTAAATTATTAATTTTTTAATTGTTAGCGCCATCTATGAAAGAATTTTCAAAGTTATTTGTTTTAGGCAACCCAAATTACATCTTTTAAATGTTATTAAAAAATTGTTAAATCAAAAAAAAACAAGCACTTAATCACTTCCTATGTTATATTAAAAGCATTAAATAATTTTCCACCTCGTCTAAATGAGTAATGTCTTTTAATAACTTATTATTACTAACATTGTGATTCTTTTGCAACACTTAATTGTTATTTCCTAGAAAAATATGTGTACTTAGACGTTTCTATAAATATGTAGCAACCTTTGTTGACTTCAAAAACATATTTCCATGTAATTTAAACTTAATCTAAATTTAGCTTTAATTGTAATTGTTTTTGATATTAAAATTAACCCCTTTTTCTTAATTATTTCAGGACTTCTACGTTTCAAATGGAATTTCGTCGATTCCTTTGAGCGGTAAGTCAATTTATTAGTTATTCTTTTTAATTCCTTTTAGTAAGAGTATTTTTAATAAAATTGACATAAAAAAGTGAGGTTTTACTACTTTATTAGTAGACATCTATAGAAGAGATGTTTTTATGAAAATTAATTACTTCTTGACTTTAATTATTTATTATTTTAAAGAATTAAACTAAAAATAGCTGCATAAAATAATTAATAAAAAAATTAGACAAATTTTTTGCAACATTATCTAAAAAGGAAATCTATTTTACCAACTGTCGGTAAAGTAGATTTCTTTTATATTTAGATATTAATTTATTGAATATTTCTTTTTATTAATAAAAGAAATTGTTTTTTTTTTACTAAAAAATGAATAATTTTGTTATTTTTGCAATAAATTATTTTATCAATTAAATAATTGGATTAAATTTCCTGTATTAAGTCGATAAAGTAGATTTGATTTTATTGTGTCATCTGTCAAAACAAATTTAGAAGCAAATTTCGTCAAATTGTAATCAATTATTGTTAAAATTAAAGAATTCTTACTGTGAATATGTATTTAGTGCTTATCAATACAAAAAATTAATTACTTT